AAATAGGATATGAACCTGCACATAAGTTTGCCATGAGTCATCACTGTCAACTTTAACGCACTTTTTGACATCATTCCATGCAAATCCACTTGTGTTTATCATGTCAACGACCATACTATATGTTTTTTTCCATTTCTTCAACTTGGACTCAATATGTGGATTTGCCTTTATATTTGAATGAGGACATAAAACATTGACAGCTTTTGCTATTTCAACCAAAGTACCTTGTTTGAAAGCACCGGTGTCACACCGTTGCTTCCGAGCAACAAAATCCTCAAGAACTCCTAGTAATACTTCTTCCTCAAATGCTTCCCATTTACGTCTTCTTCCTTTTGGCTCTTGAGTAGCATTCAAAATATTTTCGTTATCCATACCTAAACAAAAAATATTTTAATGAAGGAAAATACCATACAAATAATCAATTTGCATAATATCCAATCAACTTGCATAATATCCAATTAATTTGCATACCATCCAATCATTGTGCTAATATCTAACAAATGCATGATAAAAAGGAATACTAAAATAAAATGTTATCATTAACACATATAGCTAGTTCGATTGCTGGTTCCTAATTGCTCTCCACTCGTTATACATTTCCTGAGCCATATCATTCCTCTTTGCAGTCCACTGGTCAGATGTTTGAACACTACCAACATATTCACCTTCTTCTGTATTTTGTCCATCTTCTATTATTGGCAAATTCTCCATTGGATATACAGACATCTCTTGCCTAATAAGATTGTGTAGTAGGCAACAAGTGGTAATTATTCGACCTTGTGTCCTTATCGGATAGAAAGATGGACTCCTTAGTATCGACCACCTTCCTTTTAGCAAGCCAAAACAGCATTTAATTACATTCCTTGCCTTAGAATGCTTCATGTTAAAATATTCTTCCTTATTAGAAGGTGTTCGTCCCTCCATTCAATTACATTCCTTGCCTTAGAATGCTTCATGTTAAAATATTCTTCCTTATTAGAAGGTGTTCGTCCCTCCCATTCAGATAAATGATAAGGTATTCCTCTATAGGGTGCAAGGAATCCTTCATCATTTGTATAACCACCATCTACAAGGTAATAATGACCTAATGAAAAAAAAAAAAAACAGACCTTATTAGTGTTTTGTAGTTGACAAACAGAACTAGACCTAACTTACAAAGTTGAGACTAAGTAATAGTCTTACCCGCTGGTACCTTAAAACCATTAGGCCTAGTAATTGCATCATGTAACACTCTAGAGTCTGATGCGGAACCCTCCCACCCCGGAAACACATATATGAACTGCATATCTCCTGAACACACATCTAACACATTAGTTGCGACTCGACCCTTTCTTGTTCGGTATCTTGGTTTGTCAATTTCAGGTACATGCACATCAATGTGTGTTCCATCCAATGCTCCCAAGCAATTTAAAAAAAAAAAAAAAGTTTTTGTTAATTTATACAAAGGGAATGAAGAGTTAAAGCTTAGGGAAAATGAAAGAAAATTCTCATCATACCTTAAAACATTGCCACCTAGGATCTGTAGAATCAATAGGCACAGGCTGAGGGACTTTTAGTAGGATACCTTGTAATCGCAAAATTCCTTGCAATACGCTATTGAAAATACCTACTTATAGTCTCTCCCGACCTATAAAATCTACCGCCAACACTACGATTCTTAGTATGATGTGCTAATATTTGTAAAGTCATACACACCTGCTCCTCTACAGACACCAAAACCATCAGTTTTTTTACACCCTCCATCTTGACGAACTAAGTCACATAATATGCCAAAAGTCCTTCTATCCATTCTCAATTCGTTGACACATTCAGTATCAGTATTCCCTATTATACCATTCAGATAACACAAACTAATCTCTCGTCTAATAAGTGAACGGTTAGTCAATGTGGGTCGTTCAACATGTTTCTGTTTGCCACGTAGCATCATCAACACAAGAATCGTACAAATGCAAATTGTCTCCAAATAAGACATCTCTAACAATAAGATCAATAAAAGCTTCCTTCGATCCATATCTATCCAAACAAAAAAAAAAACAAAAAAAAAAATTAAGGACATTATATATGTAATATTTACTGTTATTAAGGGTGATGGAAATGAAGTGATTATGATACGAAATGAACTAGATCAAAGTAACTAGCGAAGTCACAATCCGAGGCATCAAATATACGGGTGGTGTTGGAAAAAAAAAGTTATCATTAACCCGAGGCAACAAATATACAGGTGGCGTTGAAAAAAAAAAGTTGAAAAAAAAAAGTTATCATTAACCCGAGGCAACAAATATACAGGTGGCGTTGAAAAAAAAAAGTTATCATTAACCCGAGACATCATATTCAAAATGTTCTACTCTTATACATCTATAAACATGTGTCTAAGAACACTAGTATGAGGATTGCTATCATTGCTAGGCATTGCATGTGAAGAGGGAAATTAAAGGACACCTGTAATGCAGTAGCCTTAGCCTTAGCCTTCCGTTTATGCTCCTCTTCTCTGCAACCAACAACCACAAAAAATTGCAATTCAGCATCAACCCCGCACAATACAAAACATTCACATTGTAATATCATGGTTATAAACCAAGTACACACACACACTCATGGACAAATGTGCAAAATACACATACATACTCACACTCACACTCACACTAACACACACACATGGACATACACACTCTCACACACGGACATACACTCACACACACCCTGCATACACACACACACCACACACACACACACACACACACACACACACTGCATACATACATACACACACACACACACTGCATACACAATACATACACACACACACACACACACACACATACACACTGCATACATACACACACACACACACACTGCATAACATACACACACACACACACACACACACTGCATACATACACACACACACACACACTGCACACACACACACACACACACACACACACACTGCACACACATACATACACACACACACACACACGGCATACATACACACACACACACATACATACACACACAACACACACTGATACACACACACACATACATACACACACCACATACATACACACACATACACACACACACACTGCACATACACTACACACATACACCACACACACACACACACTGTACAATACACACACACACACACACAACTGCATACATACACACACACACACACACTGCATACATACACACACACACACACTGCATACACACACACACACACACACTGCATACATACACACACACAACACACACACTACACACACACACACACACACACACACACACACATACACACACTGCACACATACATACATCACACACACACAACACACTGCATACACACATACACACACACACACACTGCATACATACACACACACACACACACACACACACACACACACACTGCATACATACATACACACACACACACTGCATCACACACACACACACATACACACACACACTGCATACATAACACACACAATACTACATACATACACACATACACACACACACACACACACTACATACATACACACACACACACACACTGCATACATACACATACACACACACACACACACACACACACACACACACATACACACCACACACAGCTGCACACACTGCACTCACACACGGACATACACACTCTCACACACAGACATACACTCACACACACCCTGCATACATACATACATACACACACACACACACACTGCATACATACATACATACACACACACACACACACACACACACACACACACACACACTGCACACACATACACACACACACACACTGCATACATACACACACACACACACACAGATTACACACACACACACACACACAGAGTATACACACACAGATTACATACACACACATATTACACTTACACACACACAGATTACACACACACACACACACAGAGTACACACAAACAGAGATTACACGCACACAGAGAGTATACACACACACACAGACAAACCAGAGTACACACACACATAGTATACACACACACGCACACACACACAGACACACACAGAGATTACACACACAGATTCTAATCTCAATTTGACCTAAAAATTGATTTTGAAGTTTACCAGAAAAGTTGAAATACGAAAACCCCAAATTCTAATCTCAATTTGAACTAAAAATATGAAAACCCCAAATTCTAATCTCAATTCGACGAAATCAATCGAAGATTTGAAGCTTACCAGACTGTCTCCGACCAGATGAGGGCGAGAAGACGCAGAGATGAGGGTGAGGAGGACGACGACGAGGAAGCAGGGCAAGGTCGACAACGAGCGACGAGCAGGACGAGGGACGTTGGGGATCCTCGCAGAGATGAGGACGAGCAGGACGTTGGGGATCCTCGTGGTTTTCTCTCCGAGCTTACGAGTCCGCCCAAAATTGGGGTTCTTCGTTAAGAACTCGTAAGGAGACGTGTAATCCGAGCGAGTCCCACCTAAGCCCATTAAAGCTAATCCGGTTGCACACCAAACACATGATTATAGTCTAGTCCAGTCCAAGCCTTGCTAATCCTGTCAAACAAACGTGCCCTTAGCTTTTACCTCAGGAATTTGGTGAATTACAAAGTGTGTAATAACTCAAAACTACCCCGGGAACGTAGGGGAGCCTTATGGAGTGTAATGGAAGTGAATCAGATGAAAAACGAAAAGCCCAAAACAATTTCGAAACTTTAAAATGCAATTTTAAGGGTCTAAAAGACTCGGACTCGAAATGGAAAATTTCACTTCGGTTTGAAATTTCCATCCAACTTGTACTTCACCTGGGCAACATGGGCTTTTCCTTTCAAGAATGAGTAGTTTCAATTATGTGTATTATCCATAGAATAATGCTAGAGTGACCAAATTTTGTAAATCAAATCATGTGCATGTTTATAATAGAATTATTAATAGTAACATATCATTTAATTTACAAATTTAGTTTAAGAAATTGATCTCCCTACGAAATATTTCATCAATAGAATGAAGAAGAAACAAAACCTTTGGGTTTATAAACCTAGGCTTAAGCCCCTCCCTGAAACTCCCACTAAACCCTCGGCAAAATCAGAGACCGTCAACATTTCAGCATAAGCTTCCTCAATTCCGGGCTTTTAGAAACCACAGAGAGAGATTGAGAAATGGGGTTACGGTCAAAAGGGTTGGTGAAGAAGGGGATAATGGGGTTGGGAGACATGGGTTTCAACACTAGAGTCGGAGCCATTAATTGGTTCCCCGGCCACATGGCTGCCGCCACACGCACCATCCACGACCGCCTCAAGTTCGCCGACTTCGTCATCGAGGTCCGGGACGCTCGTATTCCACTGTCCTCTGCCAACCAAGACCTCCAGCCCCAGCTCCGTGCCAAACGCTCCCTCATTGTCCTCAACAAGAAGGACCTCACCAATCCCAACATCATGCAAGTAATGTTAATGTAAAATTGTGGTTTTTGGGTTGTTATTGTTATAATTTGTTGATGAATTTCGTGTTTTTCTTGGTTTGATTGTTGTAGAAATGTACTCGATTTTTTGAATCCTCCAAGCAAGATTGCCTTCCCATCAATGCACATAGCAGGAGTTCGGTTTCTAAGGTATATTCAATGTTAACATCACCAGAATTTTTGGTTTGCAATTTATTGATTTTTGGGTTCAAAATCCTGAAATGAGCACTGGGTTATTGAAGCTTCTTGAGCTGGTGGAGTATAAGCTGAAGGAAGCGATTTCGAGGGAACCTACTATGCTTGTTATGGTTGTTGGTGTTCCTCATGTTGGGAAATCAGCTCTAATCAATAATATTCATCGGATTGCATCCTCTCGCTTTCCCGGTCAGAGGTAGGTGTTTTGAATACTATATTGGCGGTGAAACCTTGGAATGTCTTTAAGTTATTAATAATCATGGAGTTCAGGCAATCCACATTGAAGAATGACAGTGGTTGTGTTTCTTTCCTAGTTCAGGGGAAGATGAAGCACGCTACGGTAGGTCCATTGCCTGGTGTTACTCAGGACATTGCTGGATTCAAGGTGAAGTCCTTTTTGCTCTTGATTTAGTTTTTCCTTTTCATTTTACGCCGAATTTAAAATGCAACCTAGCCAATGGGTAAATTCTCTTTTTCAGTGTTTCAGAAACGCAAAACTCTCTTGACCAAGAACAAAACAGACTAACAATGAATAATACCCATTCCTTTCTTATATTAAGTCTCCTTGCTGACTATACACTGTTCGATCCATTTCATTTGTTAAGCAAAATAATAAAGTATCTATCTTGTTCTAATTTTTTGTTTCTTTTGTCTTCTAATGCTTTCCTTCTGATTATTTCTTTCTATATTTCCTTTATCTTGTTGATTTGAAAATGGAAAATTCTCATATGTTTCCCCTTTGTTTAATTGCTCCTATACAGATTGCTCATCAGCCTAGCATATATGTTCTCGATACTCCAGGTGTGTTGGTTCCAAGTATCCCAAACATAGAGACGGGGTTAAAGCAAGCTCTTGCAGGTTTGACCTTTATCAACTTTGTTGGCAATCACCTTAACATTCTCTCTTTTGAAGTTTCATCTTGTATCTTCGGTTCAGAGTCCTTCATGTATAGGCTTAGGTGTACCCTACTCATTGAAAATATAAAATGAACTTGTACTTTGATAGCTTAGTTGTTTTTTGACTGTTGGCAGATGGAGAGAGGATCAAATGTTTGAATATTCTACGCCTATTTATGTAGTTGAAGATCCATATTGAATGAAATTCTGATTAGGTAAATATAAGATTTTGATGGGTTCCAACTTCCATGTGTTCTGTTGAAAGAAGAATGATGATGTCATGTTAATCTTGAATTGGGTTGAATAAATTTGTTGATAATTTTTTTAGGAACCCAGGGCGGGGAGTAGTTTGCTACTTCTATCCATCTCAGTGAACCTTATAATTCAAGTGTACATGCAGGATCTATTAAGGACTCCGTGGTAAGGGAGGATCGAATTGCGAATTGCTCAATATTTACTTGCAGTTCTAAATTCAAGAGGGACACCTTTTCACTGGAAGAACTCTAAAAATATGAGAATGGAAGGGATTCAATATGAAGCCGAAGACAAAATTGATTACAGTCCTAAGAACCTTCTACCTAATAGAAGGAAGGTGCCAAATAAGTCTGATGTGCTGTACATTGAGGTAACGGATATTACTGTAGTTTTGTCTGTCTTTCCATAGAGCAAATTTTAATGGTGATAATGTCAAACTTCCTATGCTTAGTCACTTTGTTTGAACAACAACAGAAGAACATACTTTCTGGAAACATACAGAGATTTTTTTATATTTTTTATTTATATTTCATAAACCTGGTACTAGTTTTCTGACTTGGAGAAACCACATTGTAGATTAAGTACTAAAGCAAAGGTGTCTCACATCACATCATGAATGTTATTGTTGTAACTTGTTTAAAAGTAGGCAGTGTAGGAGCACGACAATACTCTATTTGGTAGTTTTACCTAGATTAAAGTGCTGAGGTAAAGGATTCTCACATCCATGTATCATACCATCTTTACTTGTTGGAGTCGTCATCAATGTTAGCACAATAGAGATTTTTTTTTTCTTTTGGTTTCTGGTTATGTCATTTGTAAAGGTACGGTCAATTTCGGATGCTGGTATTACAAGTCGAAGCTACATGGTGGTTGATGTCATGCCATTTGGGATTTGCAGCTTATGTTCAGATTGCTTAGTAGAAGGTAGACATTTATTAGAGAATCAAGGGCAAGTTTACTTCCAACATGCTTAACGCAATGGTGATATTTGGGTGGTGGATTTTTTGTTTCCCTTTTATCTGCATGGTATTTCTTATAATAGATTGGGTAATCATGAATGTGGAAAAGAGATGACTGACTTAATAAGGATGACATAGTACACGATATAACTATGGTTGATATGATGTCATTGTAAGTAAGGGGCAAGAAAGGTGTCCATTCAAGAAGCTTGGTGGTGAATCCACATTCTCCATAGGTTTGTCTATACTGTGTTCCTTAACTTGTTACTTAGATGAGTAACTCATTGATGACCATTCAAGCCGGAAGTGATAGACTAAATTTTTCATATTAAAGATGTCTGACTGTCATTCGTTTTGTACGTAATTAACAAGGTGCAGTATTTCTGTTTTTCTTTATTATAATTAGCATTCTTTTTTCCCGCTTAAAACTCAAATTTGTAACTACTGACAGGAGTGTATATGAGTGTTAAGCTATCTTTTAGTTTCTTTAATCGCTAACATGCTGATACTCTTACGGTACAACAACAACAACAACAACAACAACAAAGCCTTTTCCCACAAAGTGGGGTCGGCTATATGAATCCTAGAACGCTATTGCGCTCGGTTTTGTGTCATGTCATCCGTTAGATCCAAGTACTCAAGTCTTTTCTTAGGGTCTCTTCCAAAGTTTTTTTGGGTCTTCCTCTACCCCTTCGGCCCTGAACCTCTGTCCCGTAGTCACATTTTCGAACTGGAGCGTCAGTAGGCATTCTTTGCACATGTCCAAACCACCGGAACCGATTTTCTCTCATATTTCCTTCAATTTTGGCTACTCCTACTTTACCTCGGATATCCTCATTCCTAATCTTATCCTTTATCGTGTTCCCATACATCCCACGAAGCATCCTCATCTCCGCTACACCCATTTTGTGTACGTGTTGATGCTTCACCGCCCAACATTCTGTGCCATACAACATCGCTGGCCTTATTGCCGTCCTATAAAATTTTCCCTTGAGCTTCAGTGGCCTACGACGGTCACACAACACGCCGGATGCACTCTTACACTTCATCCATCCAGCTTGTATTCTATGGTTGAGATCTCCATCTAATTCTCCGTTCTCTTGCAAGATAGATCATAGGTAGCGAAAATGGTCACTTTTTGTGATCTTCGCTAGATTGCTCCGGTCATTAGTGTGGATAAGTATATAAATGGATAGAGATAGGAAAGCAAACACAAGATGTACGTGGTTCACCCAGATTGGCTACGTCCACGGAATAGAGGAGTTCTCATTAATTGTGAAGGGTTTAAACAAGTACATAGGTTCAAGCTCTCCTTTAGTGAGTACAAGTGAATGATTTAGTACAAATGACATTAGGAAATATTGTGGGAGAATGATCTCGTAACCACGAAACTTCTAAGTACCGGAGTGTGGTATCGTCTTGACTTGCCTTATCTGTCTCATAGGTAGATGTGGCATCTTTTCTGGAAGTACTCTTCCTCCATCCAGGGGTGGTATCTGTAACTGGTGGAGATGCACAAGGTAATGTATCAATTTCACTTGAAGCTTACTTGTAGTTTCAGGCTTGGTCAAGCGCGATACAAACCATGTAGTATGAGTCCCCCAAGTCGCCGGGCTAGGGGATCTGCTGAAAGAGGTGACAGACAAGGTAAGCAATCAGAGCTCCGGCTGATTGTTCACATTCTCCCTATCTTGCAGGCAGCATGAAGGATAAAGAGAAGAAAAATGAGAAGAGATGATATGGGATACTTTTGCTTTTGAAGAAGTAACTTTCCACAGGCTTATTCTTGAACCGGGCTGGAGGGTTTTCTGGTTTCCTTCAGAGTATAAGGCCGACTGAAGAATTTGAGGGTCAAAACAAGTCCATCAAATCTAGAGTACGTTCGACCCTGCTGATATGGGATACTTTTGCTTTTGACAGAGTAGTGGATGTATCGGCACGTGTGTTGTTACGCTTGTCTCCACATGCTTTCTTGTATCCTTCTCACTTGCCCTATCTGTTCCTCAGGCAGATGCGGTATCTTCCCTGGAAGCATAAGATGTTGAAGATGAGTACTCGAGAGCAATGCCAGGTAAGTAATCAGGTAAGGGGTTCCAGGCAGTCAGTTCCTGGCTGGAAGCTTGATTCCAAGTGCTGACTGATTGCTCTCTTTCTCCTTGTCTTGCAGGTAAGAACAAGGCCAAAGGAAAAGACAGGGAAAAAGCATGATATGGGATACTCTTGCTTTTAACCCTGATGATATGAGATATTCTTGCTCTAGTATAGCTTGTTTACAGAGGTATTATCGGGGGGAAAGAAAGCTGAATATTTCGAAAGGCTTCGTTGGGAGTGCCCTCTCAGATAAGAGAAATGGTTGAGCATTTTTGCAGGTCTGCCTGTCCGTTAGGGATGGAGGTCGACATATATAGGAGTCTCCCTAACATCAAGTAATAATGCTATTCCTTTACCCTGCTTGGTCATAGCACGGTAGTGAGAGCTGCCAGCTTCACATGTTTTAACTCTGTCAGAGCACTTTGAAAAAGTGGTCTGTGGTATCTGGAAAGCTGATGTTGCGTGTGAAGATTACAGACAAGCTTTATCCAATGAGATCCAGCCCTTGAAGTTGGGAAAGTGGTGCCTCTTCGGTTTTCGAACAAGCAATCCTGTCAGGGATCTGGCTCTCGAGATTCGGAGAACGATGCCTCTTCGATTTTTGAGAAAGCAATCCTGCTGGGGGTCTGGCTCTCGAGATTCGGAGAGTGGTGTCTCTTCGATTTTTGAGCAAGCAATCCTGTTGGGAGTGTTTTCTCGAATGTGAGTAAAGGTTGGCATGTTTGCTAGTCTACCTTGCCACGAAGCACAGAGGTTGACACACCGGGACTTTCCAATTATCCAGCAGTGGTACTGTTCCTTTACCCTTGTGGGTAATAATATGGTAGCTAGACCTTCAAAATTTATGTGTCTAAACTTTGTTAGTGTTGTTTCTTTGCAACTCTTTTACCCTTCTTGGTCAGAGCGATGTAGCGGGAGCTGCAAGCTTCACGTGTCTCAACTTTGTCAGAGAACTTTGGCAAAGTTATCTGTAGTACCCATGAGTTACTGTTGCGTATGGGAAGTGGGTGATTGAACAGTACGATTCATGTGCTTTCTACTTCGCCAGAAATCTTCGACAGAATGCCCATAATTTCCGCAAAGCTGAGTGTGCGTGTGACAGATGCTGACAAGGCTGGAAAAGTAGGTGCCTCTTCGATTTCTGAGATCGGCCCTCGTGGTCTCTTAGCAGCCTAGCTTTTGAGAAAGCAAGCCTCTTCGATTTCTGAGATCGGCCTTCGTGGTCTTTGAGCAGCCCAGCTTTTGAGAAAGCAAATGCCTCTTCGATTTCTGAGATCGACCCTCGTGGTCTCTGAGCAGCCCAGCTTTTGAGAAAGCAAACGCCTCTTCGATTTCTGAGCAGGCGCTTCTTTGATTTCTGAAGCTTCGTCGAGTGCAGATTTTTATAGGGGCTGACATTAAGTTCCAAAGCACACTTGAATATCCACCAGTAGAAGCTCCATTCTTGCACTTCTAAGATCTTGATTTGTCCGACCTCTTCTCTCTTCAACACCTTTGAAAATGTCTGGCCCCTCCGACCGTCGTTTTGACTTGAACCTTGTTGAAGAGGCAGCCCCGCCTTCTCCAGACAACATATGGCGCCCATCCTTCGTCTCCCCTACTGGTCCTCTTACCATTGAGGATTCCGTGATGAAGAATGATATGACCGCTGCGGTAGTGGCCAGGAACCTTCTCACTCCCAAAGATAACAGACTACTTTCCAAACGGTCTGATGAGTTGGCTGTTAAGGATTCTCTGGCTCTCAGTGTTCAGTGTGCAGGTTCTGTGTCTAATATGGCCCAACGCCTATTTGCTCGAACCCGCCAAGTTGAATCATTGGCGGCTGAAGTGATGAGTCTCAAACAGGAGATTAGAGGGCTCAAGCATGAGAATAAATAGTTGCACCGGCTCGCACATGACTATGCTACAAACATGAAGAGGAAGCTTGACCAGATGAAGGAATCTGATGGTCAGGTTTTACTTGATCATCAGAGATTTGTGGGTTTGTTCCAAAGGCATTTATTGCCTTCGTCTTCTGGGGCTGTACCGCGTAATGAAGCTCCAAATGATCAACCTCTGATGCCTCCTCCTTCTAGGGTTTTGTCCAGTACTGAGGCTCCGAATGATCCCCCTCCGGTGCCTTCTCTTTCTGGGGCTCTACCGACTGCTGAGACTTCTCCTAAGCAACCTTTGTGAAGGCTCCCTCTTGTTTGTTTATTTTGACTCAAGTATATGTACATATTTGTAACTTATCGGGGATATCAATAAATAAGCTTTCATTCATTTCAACGTATTGTGTTAAATACACCAAAGCCTTCTTCGCTAAGTTCTTTGAATTTTTTTTGTTGAAGCTTGTATGTTGAAGCTTTGTGAGTGGAGCATGTAGGTTGAGGTAGTGTTCCCTTAATTTCCTGAGTGAGGAAAACTTCTCAGTTGGAGACTTGGAAAATCCAAGTCACTGAGTGGGATCGGCTATATGAATCTTAGAACGCCATTGTGTTCTGTCCTGTGTCATGTCCTCCGTTA